CCTCCCCCCTCTCCCCTCTCCCTTCTCCTCCGCTCTCCCCTCTCCTCCCCTCTCCTCTCTCTCCTCAGGGTCACACCCATACTCGCTGCTGGATTACCTTTTGTCCAATGCTTCTCCAGCTGATTGGCTTTTAAATCTGAATTGGATTCTTTATGCTTTTAGAAGCAGACTGTCTGCAGGTTGGAGGGGAGAGGAAGATTTACCTGTAATGCTGGTGAGCTAGATGAGTGTAACAGTCTTGTTCGTAATTCTGAAGGAGGCAGCAGTTTGTGGCTGGGATTTGATCCTAAAGATCGGTTTTCAGAAGTCTTCTGTTCTGTGCCTTTTTCCCTCCTCCGTATGAAAAGCAGCCCCGTGGGAAGGAAAACAGATGGCCTAAATCAAGACTCAAGTAGAGAAGCCTGTCTGTGAGAAGATGCACCTATTTATAGTCTGACTAATTAAGCTGCAGCTTTATGAAGATAATGATGATGTAAACAGTGGTATACATATGCATGCACACACAGATATAATCAAAGGATTTTAACAGGGGGTTCACACTCCAGTTCTGCCTCTAATTCTCCCTCTGCTAACCACACTTTGAATATGTGAAGCATCCTACTGTGGCTAGTGGTTATGCCATCCATTGGTGCTACAAATTCATGGGACAGGAAAAGACATGCCTCTTACCCACTAAAGTCACAGGACTAAACTAGCCCCCTGAATCGGTGCTCTTACCTCTCTACTGTTAATACCTCATCTTACGGAGAAGACAATGTAGAGAGAGGAGACCGCGACTGGCAGTGGACAGCCCATGCCAACGTCTGGATCTGTGCTACACTGCCAATCCCAGGCCTGAGCTCATTTGTGTTTATGGATAACTTTCATGGTTATAGCCCCCCTTTCTATATATACATAGAGAGAGAAAGATTTTGTGGATTAATTCTGATACATGATAAATGCTGGGAGCAGAGGGAGGCCCACGGTGAGTGTTCCACAAATGTTCACTGTTGCGGGGAATCCCGCGTTGCTGCCCTGCTCTGCCGAGGCGCTAAGCCGCTGCTGTGAGCAGGGAGTGACCTTTGGAGGGTTCACTGCAGTGTTTCCGGCACTAGCTTAGCTCCAACAGGTGAGGCTTTGCATCTTGGCTCCACTGCAACCTGGTTGCCCCCTGGGGTGTTTTAACTGCTGCAGCCTCTGTGTCCTTATAGCTGAGTGATCCTTGTCAGGAATAAAAAGCTGCTGCAGTGTGGAGGGTGGTTGCCATGGAAAACATGTGCTGTCGTTGTTACAGCTAGCTTAGCTGTGTTGTGGTACCCATGCTTTTTAATGCACTCTCGGGGCCAAATAGATGAGTCCAAAGCCTACTGATGTGTTCGGAAGTCTTGATGCTCTGTGCTCTCTGGCTAGCACTTGATAGGACCACCAGGGAAACATGGCAGACTTTGTAGAAGTGACCAGCACTTGATAGGACCACAAGGGAAACATGGTAGACTTTGTAGAAGTGACCAGCACTTGATAGGACCACAGGGGAAACATGGCAGACTTTGTAGAAGTGATCAAGCCACAATGAGGGGTTATTTGGCTCATCTGATTCTCTCTTACTCAGAATTCACAGTGTCCAGTTCAGAATTCAGTATTAGGATTTGAGAGTCCTTGGGAAGGTCGCAAGGAGGTACTGGGTATCCTTAGCATGACCCGAATGGCAATGGACCTGTTCTGCTGTACATACGTGGTGCGGTTATGAAAGGGGCTTTTGACTGATCTGTCTCTTTTCGTTCTTATTGAACTTCCAGACCCAAATCCACCTTTTCAGAAGGTGACCACAGCAGCTTTCTCTGTACTTCCTCCCGTCTAACAGCACTGATCCTTATTCTTTGTAGAAACATCTTGGGGAAGCCACATGGGAACCAGGTTTGCTGCTAGGTTTGGGTTTTGTTCTGGATGCTACAGCAGCTGCGGCTTAGGAAGGAGCCTCCAGATGACTGTAGTCCTGGGGTTTATCCTTCTGCAAACTGTGAAGAAGTCACGTTACCGAGCACCCCGAGAACAAGTCCCTTAGATGTCTTCAGAGTATGGGAATCCTAGAACTGATTCCTGGATAAAAATCACTCTGAGCTTCCTCCCACTTTCGAGGCCAGCCCCTCTTAGATTCACATTTCCCTCCCACCTGCTCTGTACAAATGGAAGAGAGAAGAACCGAATTTTATTTTAGTCATATGTTGTTAAGGTTTTAAAACCCATTCCCTGTGGGCTGGAGAGATTGCTCAGTGGTGAGGAGCACTTGTTCTTGCGGAGGACCTGGGTTTTGTCCCCAGTGCCGATGGCTGTCTGTAACTTCATTTCCAGAGAATCTAACGCCCTCTTCTGGCCTCTGTGTATGGCAGCCAAAACAGCCATATGCATAAAAAAAAATAATCTTTGAAGTCAATCCCTATGCAAGTGACATCACTGTATTAATGTCTGAAATAAATGTGCAGTAATAAAAATAGTTTTTTAAAAAATACTTGGATATGTAAAAAACTAAAGTGATTCCCTTGGTGAGGACACAAACACACATGCACCTGCATACATGTGCGAGCACACATACATTGTGAGAACTAAATAAGTGTGCTCGTTTTGAGTTATTACATTTGCATCTGTTTGCCTTAAATTAGACCTGAAATTGGAATCCGGTTTGGAAATCCGAGAATGGTAGGTGTAGTGTCCATTTCTTGACCCCTTTCCCCTGACCTCCGTGTCCTGCCTCCACTGTGAGCTATGATTGTTTGAAGAGAAGTATAATTACCATGTGGCCATAGCATGCATTTCCTTTCTCTCCCTATAGAAAAGGTGTTATAATTTCTTCATGAGGTTGTCACTCATTCCTGTGACAGTCTGCAGTGCTGAGTCATGCAGCCTTGCATGTACTTTACAGTGGATGCCAGGAAGGGAGAAGGGTTTACATGTGCGTTACACACCGTCTTTAGTCACCAAGGTCAACTCCAGGTTTTCCAAGAGGTGATGGACTCAGGCCATTAGCAATGAAATTTAAAATTATGACAGCCAAGAGACTTAGAAAAACTGAGCATGGCTTATTCATCTGTCCGTCTCCATCCATCCACCCACCCACCCACCCATCCACCCATCCATCCATCCATCCATCCATCCATCCATCCATCCATCCATCCATCCATCCATCTTAGGAGTCTCAGCCTGTGTGAGCCCATTTTCCTACTGAAGTCTGCCCTGGCCTGTTGCCTTTGCAGTAGCGGTATTTTTGGCTTGGATCTTCAGCACCATGTTCCCACAGCTGCTAAGCACAGTGCCAAGAGTCTCCTCTAATGCCATCTGCAAAATCTGGCCTTTCTGCTAAAGGCCTGTTGGTTCCCAGGATGCCAAGTCCAAAAAGTCATTTTTGGTGTATAATTTATTTAATCTTATCTAAGCAGGAAGCTAATCCTTACCTTAGGAGAATCTCCACAGTTCCCAGGTGGAGGCCAGTTTCTACCTTCAAATACTGTTGTTTCATACATGTGAAAATTTAATTTCCAAGTGAGATTTCCTTCCTTCCCCTATTTACAGCAGATATTGCCAAATATTTTCAGTTTACAGATTAAGGGTGGATCTAACTGTCATAATTTTTCATGGTATCTTCAAGTCAAAACTAGTAACATTGTTTATCAGAATTTATTCTCTGTGTACAGTGTTGTCTACGCAGGCCTTAAAAACAAATAGTACTTATTACATCCCTGCAACTTAGTAGGCCTTTCAAAAACAGTGTGCATAAATTCAAGGAAAAAATACTTTGATTTCATTTTAGTGACATCAGACTGGTATTAGTGGGTTGTTTATACCTTACGGACACTTGGTTTCCATACTTCAGAACCAGATTGTTCACTTCCTGCTTCACATTGTCCAAAACTTGCTTTTTACCATAGCAAAAGACCAAAGTACCAAATCCCGGCTGCAGGAAGCTGTGACATCAGCAGAGGAAGCAAAGCAGGGTCCTCTGTTGAAGTGCAGTCTCTGGCCAGTGTCAAGTGTCACTGTGGGTCCTTAAAATTTTTAGATGTCCTATTGCACTTCCTGAGAATTTCCTGAGGCAGCTCAGCAGACAGGTTGCACACTGTAGGTTTATGATATAGTTTACTTTTTGATGAATTGTTTTGGTTGGATTTAATTTATCCTTTTTTGTTTTTGAATCCTATTCTGAAATAATGTATGCTGCTTTAGTCTGAGCAAGCGAAGGTAGCTTCTAGTAAGTGAATTAACCGTGTTTCATATGGAAGGTTATTTTTATCTCACTCTATAATGGCCTGGGTTTTCAAAAGGTGATGTAAGCGACAGACTGGAGAGCTAGCTCAGTGGTTCAGAGTACCTGCTGCTCTTGCAGAGGACCTAGGTTCAGTTCCCAGCACCCACAGTCCGCTCACAACTGTCACTCCAGTACCAGGACATCTGCCCCTCTTCTGGCCCCACAGGCACTTGACACACACTGTGTACAGACATACATGCAGACAAACACACACAAAATTAAAATGAATGTTTTTCAAAGATGAAATAATTTAATACCACTCTCAAGTCATGTCCTTGCAGAAAAACGCTAGCCACGAAAGCAGTTCCTCTTGAGACTGTCTTATCTGTATTTTATGCTGTCTGACCAAAACTGGGTCTTGCTTTAATTTCCACTTAGCGTCTCCATATACAGCCTCAACCCCCAACATCAACAGTGTGAGAAACGCCGAGTCAAGAGGGTCTCTCATCAGCACAGACTCGGGCAGCAGCCTTCCCGACAGGAACCCCGAGAAGAGCAATTCCCTGGATAAGGTGATTTCTTTTTCACTTCACAACGTGTTTCGCGTGTGCCGGGTGTAGCCAGAGTAACCTGCTTCACGTTCTGCTGTTTACTACATGTGACCTTTGGGGTTGTTTTTAAACACCTTCCTCAGCATGTGGAGGATGACAGGAGCTTTTCCTAAGGTTGTGACTCGGACCCTTGAATTCTTGTGTCATCATTGTTATACTCCTAACGCTCTAGTTACACTGTGCCCATTCCTAACGCTCTAGTTACACTGT